GGCAGGGGTGTCCTAGAGGAGCACAGGAGAGGGCACTAACCTCCCTAACTGCGGAGAAACTGGGAAGCGGAGCACTGGGGAATCACTTAGGGAGGAGGAACATTAACATGTATTGAGCACCTACTGTATGCCCCGCTCTAGACACTTAATGGTCACAAGTACCTAATGATTTTAGAATGTTTATCTACCTTGACTCAGTAAGGAAACAGGCTAGGAGAGGTTATGGAGGTCACACTGAGACAGATGGAACCTAAACCCAAGTCTCTTGGCCTGAGAATGGGGCAGAGAACAGAGGGACAGAGGCAGATAACAATAGAACCATAATATTTGAAACTGCAGGAGGACCTTGGAAGCCATCTCCAGCATCTTTATTTTCCAGGAGAGAAAACTGAGTCTCATAGAGACAAAGTTGCTTCACCAGGGTCTTGTTCCACTTGGCCCAGGGCTCTCCCCACCCCACCAACACATACCCAGAGATGCCGAGGGGCATTTTTACCCCACACAGAGCAGCAAGCACTCCCAGGGCCCCTCAAGTCCAGCCTTTCCTGTACCCCCTCCACCTTCCTGCTCCCTCCTCTGGCAAAGGAGCTCTGTTGACTGGGAGCAGCAGACTGGGGATATTTTTAATCCCCTTCTGTGTACCTGAGAGAGTCAACAGGCCAGAAACCATAGCCCTGACTTTCCTCTTGTTCCTTCACACTTGGGCCTCAAACCCTGCCTAGGCCTTGCCCTCAGCACAGTGCCCGGCATGTGGCAGGCCGTCATGTCTGAAACCTGAACAAGTAAATGGTTCAAGCATCCCTGTCCCTTGTGGCAGGGACCCCAGGCACAAGGTGGGGCCTCTGAGCCACTCCTGTAACTCTGCCAACAGTCCCTTTGTTCTTCCCTCTCCACAGGCAAAGAACAGAAGGAGACCAACATTGAATCCATGAAAATGGAGGCAAGTGTTTTCCTCACCCCCAGGGGCTCTGTGGATCCAGATTCTAGAAGAAAGCCACGCCTCTGCCGCCCCCGCCCCACTGTGGCGAGTGTGTGGGATGGGGGTAGGAGGGTGGGCCCCCCTTCTTTACTCATCCCTCTGTGAGGAGAGGAAGTGGGTGTGGGGTTGGAAGTCCCCCAACAAGGCAGCTAGCTCATCCTCCTCCAGAGACCAGGCGCCTCCCCACGCGGTCTGTGTCCGTGAGTGCTCACCCCACCGTGCGCATCCCTCGCTTCTCTAGCCTGGGCAGGGCTTGCCCAGCGCTCCCAGGGCTGCCATCTCTGGCCGGGAGCCAGACTTTCCATGTGCCATGCGAGGGGAGTGCCTCCTCAGCCCCCGCCAGGAGGAATACAGCCTGCAGTAGGGCTGTCAGTGCCCACCTTAATGCCTCTCTGTGTCTGTCATCTCTCTGTCCTAGGGCTCCCGGGGCCGGCTGCGGGGTGGCTTGGGCTGGGAGTCCAGCCTCCGCCAGCGGCCCATGCCGCGGCTCACCTTCCAGGCGGGGGACCCCTACTACATCAGCAAGCGCAAGCGGGACGAGTGGCTGGCACGCTGGAAAAGGGAGGTGAGGTGTCTTCTGGCCTGGGTCCCAGCCTGTCCCACCAAACTGGAAAACCATAAGTTAGCTTCAGCCGCCCTCTGGGAGTGTGGTCAGGCCCTAGCTGAGCCTCAGTCTCCCCTCAGATTAACCTCTAGAACTTAGAGGGAACTGCGTGATCCCTCTGTGGTGACTGGTTCATTTGTTCTCTCAGCCAATGTTCGCTGAACGCTTACTGTATACCTGGCAGTGTACTAGGCTCTGTGCATATATTGTCCCTACCCTTGTGTGGAGTTGACATTGTGGACAGAAAACAAAGAAACAACAGGCTGATATAGAAGATAATAGAGGCCGGCTTTAGGCAGGGTGGTCAAGATGGGCCTCCTGGAAGAGGTGACATTTCAGTTAAGATCTAAAGGAAGCAAAGAGCTGGCTGTGTGCAGCACAGGGTGGGGGAGAGTGCTCTAGGCAGAGGAAACAGCACCTGCAAGGCCCTGACTTGTTTGGCCCAGGGTGAAAAGAGCGAGGGAGGAAGAGGCCACAAGTGGCTGGAGAGGCAGGCCGGGTCTGGCCAAAAGCTGGGTTACTTCTGAGTGTTCCGGGAAGCCACTGAAGGTTTCTAAGCAGAGGCATGATTTGATGTGGATTCACACGGCGACAGTGGAGACAGAGAGGACAGCTTGGGGATGTATTCTGGAAGTAAAATCAGTAGGGCTTGCTGATGGATGGGCGGGGCAGGGCAACATGCGCTCAAGGAGGACTCCAGGGGCCGGCCTGAACCCCTGGAGAGGGCGTGCATTGGCTCAGATGGAAGGCCAGCGGGACAGGTGTGAATGGGGAGGTGCCCGGAGTGCGCGGCGGGGCAGTCGGGGCTGCAGAGGTGAAGGTGGGCGCAAGAGGAGAACTGGCGTTTACACCCACGGGGACTGAGGGGCTCACCTGGGAGAGAGGGGAGAGACAAAGTCCCAGAATCGGAATCGTGTCCACAGAAACCCCAACAATTATGCCGCATAGAGAGGAGTGGCAACCATGGGGACTGAGAGGGGATGCTGAGAAGGGGCCAGGGAGGAAGGCAGGCAGGAGTGGTGTCTCGGGAAGCAAGAGGTTTTCCTGGGAGAGCGTCTGCCCAGCCCTGTGGAAAACCGAACTCCCGGAGACATGCCCATGGCATTGGACAACCTGGAAGGAGCTGGTGACTTTTCAGAGAAGCTTCTGTGGGGGCTGGGGGTGGGGGTGGAGGGGAGCAGCCCTTGGAGGGCTTCAGCTGCTGACGGAGGTAAGGAAGCAGAGGCAGAGACCCAGGAGGGACATCGCTCCCCCAAGCACTGTGTGTTGATTAGTGGAGAAAGGGGGGTACAGAGAGAAGGGAAGGGGGTGGTGACCCACCTGCACCAGGAAGGGAGCGGAAACTGCCACTGCCAGAACTGCCACCACGTGGGGCACTTCACCTTGGCTCTCGTTTCATCTTTACCCCAGGCCTCTGAAGGAAGGTGGTCTCCTCAGTCACAGTGGAGAGCTTGCCCTGGAGAAAGCGTCAAACAGGCGGAGTTCGCCTGCTTGACTGTTTCTAGTTCCTGTAGGATCCAGGAAGGCAGCAGTAATTCTCCAGGAAGAGCCTGGAAGAAGGATACCCCGTCTGAGGTCTGGGGCAAGAAAGGCACTTACCCCTGAGCAGGGAAGTGTTGTCTTCGGGATGGAAATACTCCGGAACCTACAGAGAGGGCTGTGCTTTTTCACTCCTCATCATGTGCCATGTTTCTGCCCTTGCTTAGCCCTGGGGCAGGAAGCTGAGATATCGTGACTTCTAGATCTGGAAGAGCTTTTAGAAATTCTGTGCTTCTCAAACTGTGCTCCCTTGAAGAGGCAGTAGGGAGTCCTGACCTCAGTTACAATGAAAAAAAGGGATATTTTCTCCACTCACAGCAAAAATTAAGATAATGGATACATTTCTCAATTTTAAGTTTTCTATTAAAATTTAAAAAGACTTTTCATATTATGGCTGGGCACAGTGGTTCACAGCTGTAATCCCAGCACTCTACACGGCCGAGGCGGGAGGATAGCTTGAGCTTCGGAGGTCTGAGCAAAAGTGAGACCCTGTCTTTACTAAAAATAGAAAAATTAGCCAGGCATGGTGGCTGCGCCTAATAGTCCCAGCCACTGGGGAGGCTGAGGCAGGAGGATCACTGGAGCCCAGGAGTTTGAGGTTGCTGTGAGCTACATGATGTCACTGCACTCTAGCCAGGGTGATAGAGCAAGACTCTGTCTCAGAAAGAAAAAGACTTTTAATATTATGAACATTTCTAATGTTCACAGAAATAGAGAGTAATATAATGAACCCCCATGCATCTATCACCTGGCTTTGACAACTTGTCAAAAAACTTTTCTAGTAAATCTTCAGCCCTTGGCATCTGCTTCCCCACACCCACAATGAGTATTAACAGAAAAACTAAAAAGTTGATTTAATTTAAAATATTTTTGGTATGTGTGACTTGCAGTGTGGAGCCCTCCAAACAAAACATTTTCTGCTAGAAAGATTGTTCCTTATTTACATGCTGTGAGCAAAGATGCCCATAAAGACTCCAGTACAAGTTTTAGGACTACTGATCACTCATTTTCAGACTTGGGGACTGGGGCTACAGGGTGATGTGTCAGGCCGCAAGCTCACACAGCAAATTGGGAACAGGGCTGGAATGGAACTGGAGTTCAGGCTTCCCGCGCCTATGAGGGGCCTGGCTCCTGGACGTCATACTCGTCCTGGGCTGTGCCGGGGGCTGGGGAAGGGCTGGCTGCAGGTGTCAGGAATGGTGGGAAAACACAGGCAGCTTTCAAGATTCCCAAGTCCCCTTCAGACTCAACAGTAGGAACAGTTGCCATCAGGCCGGTTTCTAAGTGGGGTCCACAAAAGTATGGAAATCTACTCTCTTTTCTCAGTCCCATCTTAGTTCCTTGGCATTTGACCCTTGCTTGTGAAATTGCCTCCCTAGGCCTTCCTGACATCCCTGCAGGTTCTTCCCGCCTCCTTCAGCTGCGTCTCCTTAGCAGCATCCTCTGCCCGTAACTGTGGGCTCCACAGATCGCCGCCCCCACCCTCTGCCAGTGTTGATCTACTTACCACTTATCTACTCTCCTGGATCCAGCTACATGCCCTCCTGCCAAAACAGACCCCTCCCCTCCTAACCAGCCACCGCCTTCAGTGCTCAGCTCCCACTGTTTCCCAGGCGATGTCACTTGAAGGTCCAGCCAGCACTTCCTAATCTCAGAATACCACACCTACTTTTTAATTCATGCGGGGTATCTTTACTGAGCTGACTACCAGAACTCTCCATGTCTGGGCACCATGTATGATACAGGGGCTACCGGAAGCATAGAGATTCCTCTTTATCCCAGGAGAGGATGAGGCTTACGGCACCTGCAGGAAGAGCACTGCCCTGAGCAGGGGGCTCAGACTTGTTCTGCCTGGGGTCATCCACACATCAGCAAGAGGTGGCTTTTGGCTTTTAAAGGATGAACTGGAATTTAGGGAAGGGGAGGGGAAAGGCATTTCAGAAGGAGGTGTACAGCACGTACAAAGGTCCTGAGGCATAAAACAGTGTGGCCTTTTCGGGAATGGAAGCATAGGATGGGGTGTGGGCTGAGAGTAGCAGGAAGTGTGGCTGGAAGGTGGGGTTGGGCCAGGGCCTGAAGGACTTGTGTGCCCGGCTGCAGAGCTGCCACCAGACCCTAGCCTGAACCTGCCCCTTCCCCTAGTCTGTGTGCCCCACCTGGGGGGCTTCTTCCCTCAGAATGCACCCCCTGGGGCCGGGCACGGTAGCTTACGCCTGTAATCCTAGCACTCTGGAAGGCCGAGGCGGGCGGATTGTTTGAGCTCAGGAGTTTGAAACTAGCCTGAGCAAAAGCGAGACCCCGTCTCTACTAAAATTAGAAAGAAATTAATCAGACAACTAAAAATATATAGAAAAAATTAGCCGGGCATGGTGGCGCATGCCTGTAGTCCCAGCTACTGTGGAGGCTGAGGCAGGAGGATCGCTTGAGCCCAGGAGTTTGAGGTTGCTGTGAGCTAGGATGACGCCACGGCACTCTAGCCTGGGCAACACAGTGAGACTCTGTCTCAAAAAAAAAAAAAAAAATGCACCCCCCAGTTTAATTTCCTTTTCCTTTGACCACCCTTGTCAGTGAGACCGTGGTTATTGAGTGAGGCCTACTCTTTACTTTTCTGTCCACCCAAGATCACCAACCTCCCCAGGCTTTTCCCCTCCAAATTTTAAGACTTAGAATACACAAAATGAGTCAAATTTAAAATAAGTGGATGAGGAAATGAGACATTTTCTCCATCCCTGGGGCCGACATGGGAATTCCTGCTGGAGCTGGGAAGCCGTTGTCTTCTGTCTGTTCCACCTCCTATTCCTGTTCCTTCACCTGTTTACTAGTCTTCTTATGGATTAACTTCTGCTTTAATCATGCCCAGCCCTGCTACAGAACCTACAATGGCTCCCCATTGTCCCCCTGTTGGTGTCAGGTATCCTCTGGCTGCTTCTCAAGGCTTCAACCCTGTGACCTCCACAGTCAATCCACCCCACTTCACTGCGATTCTCCAATAGTAAGGTTCCTTATGAGGGACCAGTCTCCCCTTTGCCCTTGCCATGCTCCTTCCTTCCTCCCTGCCTTTGTTCCTGCTGTGCTTTCTGCTATCCATGGGTTGAGGCCAAGAGCTGCTGCCTCTTCCAGGAAGCTCTCCAAGATTTCTCCAGTCCACACTGACCTCTTCCTTTCTCAGAACCCGGGTAGTCCCTGCTGTTAATATTGTTGGGTTTAGCACTCAATTATATTTCATGGGGTATTTTTCACTATTGCTTACGTGTTGATCATGTCTTTCCCTGTCATGCCTAACCGGATGCTGGGCAGGGAGAGCAGGCTCAGTGAATACCTGTTGATTGGCTAAGTAGTTGAGAGGTTGGTGAATGGGGGACCCCTTCCCTGGGAGCTTGGGCCCTTGCATTTCCACATGACAAGGACCTAAGCCCTTGGTC